TTTTTGTGTGTGTGTGTGTGTGTGTGTGTGTGTGTGTGTATTCCTGTTTTTCTATTCTGGTGGGGACTTAAACCTGAATACACACAGACTCATGGGGACTCGTGTCACGGTGGAGACCTGAATTGAGGTCCCCACGGGTAAACAAGTTAATAAATCGCACAGAATGAAGTTTTTTGAAAATCTAAAAATGCACAAAGTTTCCTGTAAGGGGTAGGTTTAGGTGTAGGGTTGGTGTAGGACAATAGAAAATACTGGACAAACCATTACGCCTATGGAGAGTCCCCTCAAGGATAGCAAACCAGACATGTGTGTGTGTGTGTGTGTGTGTGTGTGTGTGTGTGTGTGTGTGTGTGTGTGTGTGAGAGAGAGTGTGCGAGTGCGAGTGCGTGTGTTAACCTGACTCCAGATTTGGGATCAGACAGTCCTGACAGCAGGTCTCTGCTCCAGTCTTCAAACTGCTCCTGCTCGTACGATCTCATCTGCTCCTGCAGCTCATCACAGAAACGGAGCAGCGGCCGAAACCCAGACAGATCAGAGAGCAACGCGTCGGCCATCTTCAGAGAGTCCTCCACCTGCACACACATACTTCAGCTGCTGTAACTCATGACAGATTCAAGTCCTTCACCACCTTCAATGCTCTATTAAATGGTTCACTTAAATGCTTCTCTACATTAGTATGTGTTGATGAAAATGGTCTGTGTGTCCGAACCTTAAGCAGCAGCTGTCTGACCCACACAATATTGTTGATGACCTCTGGAAGGTTTCGTCCTGCTAGAGGGCCGGTTTTCTCTCCTGGAGCACCGTGACAGCGGTTCTCAAAATCCACCCGCAGCCCTGCACAACAACACCGCTAGCATGAAGCACTCTCTAGTGTCTCTCTCTCCTTATGGGAAGACAATTATGAATCTAGATAGCCTTAGTCATTAAATAGCCAATTTATAACTAAAACTATTATCATTTTCGTTTATATACAGTGGGGCAAAAAAGTATTTAGTCAGCCACCAATTGTGAACTAAAATAAAATAAAACCTTAAACATAAAAAAACTTATTAAATTAAAATTTCCTTGGCAACTAAGTGAAATAAAACAAATTTAAGTTTAAATACTAAAATTACTCAAAATAAAAATAAAACTAAAGCTAAATAGAAATGTTTAAAAATAAAAACTAATAAAAATGACAAAAGCACATAACAAAATGACTAAGACTTAAACCAACATTACATTGAAAACTGAAAATATAAAAATAAAAGCTAAATCAAAATTAGGGATGCAGCGATACCACTTTTTCCAGTACTCGCCCGATACCGATACTTTTATTTTTGGTACTTGCCGATACCGAGTACCGAGACCAATATTTTTATTGCATTTGTACATTTTTTAAATATTGGGTACAGAAGCCAAAAGAGTATGTATATTGTTAGTTGGTTAACTTCATTTATCAAATAGATACAGTCAAACCAACATTTATTCAGACACCTTCAACATTTCTCACATTATCACAGTTTATTCGCTATGGTTTAGAAAATGGTAATAAAATATGATAAGAACTCAGAGTTAAACTGTGTCAGAACAAATTCATCTTGATAATGTCAGATAACTTTGATAGAAAGATATGTAATAGATTACAATCAACCAAAAATTAGACAGCTGTTAGTATGACAGTGTTTACATAACTATCAATACTTAGTCGGGCAACACTTAGCCTTAATGACAGTCTGTAGTCTCCTGGGCATGCTGTCACCCAGCTTCATGCAAACCTCAACTTCAATGTTTTTCCCCAATAATTTTTGGTCCCAGATTTGTATCAATTTTACTGGTAGTCCACTGTATGAAGAATTTT